GGCTACTGAGCCCCACCGCCACGACAAGGCGGGAACCGTTGGTGGGGGTCATCTACATCTATGCCAAGTTTTATCAAGAACCGTTTAGCCGTTTACGCTACAAATTCTAACTAACGTCCATCTATCTAAACTTCCGCTCTATTATATTAGTATGAAATATGATTACTAGAGGTGCCTATCAAATCAGATTTTTTATTGCTTAAAACAGTTTTGCAGTATTTATAAGAAACAATAAAAGCATATAGTTTGCATGAGTCGATAGAATACATAATATTTCCAACCTCGTTTTATAAAAAGCTTGAAGATGCATTTGAGCAGATGGTAAACAGAACATGTCGTATCATTCGACCTTCGTTAGATAGGTAAACAGTTACATAGTGCACCCGTTTATCGCCCATTACTATTGCAGTAGGGCTGCCAACTTTTACAAAAATTTAGACCATAATACTGGCAACATGTTGGAAAAAACGAAGGTCAAAGATTGTCAAATCTTAACTTTATAGCGAAAAAGCAAATACACGAACTACGGAAACTAGTTGTAGTATAAAGTTCCTTTACCACAAGTTTAAAAGTTGGTCCTAGATATGTCGCGTCAAGAACCCGAATATATCACGGGAATCCGGAGAATTACATTTTAACCCGAAGAGGCGACAGCCCTAGTTGCATGTCTCTAGCTATATCTCGATTAATTGCCTCGATCATTACCTACCACACGTCAAAGTCCAGCGCGTGATCGACATATTGTTGAACACCTTTCTTTTCAAATGCTCTAAAAAGAAACATCCCTAATTTGTTGACTGTTTTTGTTAGAATGTCAAAGAATAAAGAACTAACAGCATTATGATTATGTGTCTCTACTTATTTCAACTCTTAGAGCACTTAAGAGTAATACAAACATGTAACCCTTTTTATTTCCTAGTAAAAAAACTGAGATATCAATATTTTTTACCAAATCGTTTGTTCTTTTACTTTCTCTTTCATTAGTGATTGGTGAATACTTAGTACATATCTCAGTTTGGTTTAAATATATTTATTCTTGGTTAATGACACATAAGAGATGTTTTAGGATTGTAACCGCTTTAGACATGGGTCAAGCCAAGTGATAACATTAGAGATTGCGAAGCTTTGACCTAGACAACGACCGGTGGTCGCCAAATGTAATACAAAGATATTATTTAAAACGTTTAAAGTATACGAGACTAGCTTTTGATCGCGACTTTGCCCGCATTAATTTTAAAAAAATAATAGAAAATAACATATTACTTGCCTATCTTACTCTCTGAAAATGCTGCTTTTTAATATTAGTATAGAGTGTTTGATATGATGATTGAAAAACATAGATGGGAACCATGCTGTGCCAAGCGTCATCTGAACTGAAATTTTAACAAAAATTAGACACTACTAATCTACAGACATGCCATCACGAACCAAATTATCATATTACAGGTTATAACTAGTTGTTACGTGTTTCAAATAACTTGGTGGGCCTCATACTCTTGACATAGTATTGCTACGCCGCCCTAAACCTAAAATGGTGTTAAAAGCTGCCAAGATTTAGGTAAACAATTGTAATATGTATTGTCATGTTACCTAATATTGAAATTGATTATGATTTTAATCTTCATAGGAAAATAGTTGTAATGTCCACTCTAACTGTTTTGATTGAATATCTTTGTTAAAAGACAATAAACAAGTTACAAAATGTTAAAAGATATTTTTGAAATATGGTGGAATACTATTGTGTGATTATTAAAACTTTAGGCAAGTTTATGATATAGATAAAAAAGTAGTTTCTTCTTGGAATTGTTTTGGATAGTTTTTGCATTTATCGTATTATTTGACCGCATTATCTGTGCAAGTTTGAAAATAATTAATCATTACGAGTAAGTACCAGTAAGCGTCCATTAACTTGTTTATTAAATAATTTGTCATAAACAAATATGTTTTGTCATTAATGCTCGTTTGATATTGTAAACATAATTTATATAGATTAATAAATAATATTTTGTAAGGAGACTTGTGTTTATGTTATTTTGAAATCCAAATATTCTCAATAATTTAATATGATTTTTTTTTCAGATCAAAAACAACACTTTTTAATAACTTAAAATGAAACATAGCCTTTTTAATATAAAACATAACCTATAATTTAAAACATAACTCACTGTCAACGTAGCTTTTTAATGGTAAAAGAATTTTTGAAATCGGCCCAGTATTTTTGAGTTATTTCTTTACAATCAAACAAAGTTTTCCTCTTTATAATAATAGTATGATTTGAAGACCTAACTTGAGAGTACTCCAAAACTTCTAGATTTTTAAAATTATTTTATTTTGGCGGGATTTTTGTCTTTATAAAAGTTTATCACCGTACAATAATTTTAAAACATGTACTTTATTTGTAAAATAATTAAAGTTCAGCGTTAACTTGTGAGATAACAGGCCAGTAGATGTGTAATTTAAAGAATTAGATTATTTTTAGCCTGTACAATACATCCGGCAACCTCGAACTTTGATACTCGAAACAAATTTATTGCCAAAAATAACAGTTTTCACTTCATATTAAAACACTGGTTACTAAACTAGGTAACAAACTACAATGAAGAAAAAAAAGGAAACCGAGTTTTAAATTTTCGGTCATCTTTAAGTCTATACCAGAAGATGTGTTCCAAATCCTGTCTATGTCGTCAATTCATCATCTGGAAGACTAACATAATACGTTCCCTTCGGATTCTGGATCGTGACCCATCCGAGCTCTTTAGACGCAAGGTCACGGTCAAAATCCTACAAGAATTACAATTGCTAAACCAAATTTAGTATTCATCGCAAAGCGTAAAATAGTAAAGTTTTCGCATCGAATACAAAGCGTACTCCGGCCACCTGGTCATTAGTCGTCGATCCCGGAACTCGATAATGATAACAAATGCATACATTGCTAATTGCTTGTAAACAGTTCGCAGGGCACACAGGGCGGAGGGCGTTGTTCAGGAAAGTTTCAACTAGCGCCCGATAGACCCCCACCACTCCTGACACATCGCCATATATATACCGAACGCGCCCTAAATCCGACACACTCCTTCGGGTTCTCTCGTCTTGACCACATCTCCTGTATCACACAATGGCCAAGTTCATCATTCTTCTCGTCGCCACCTTTGCTCTGGTAAGTCTTTTTATTGCGAAACTTATTTAACGTTTTTCGAATTTGTGCATTTTTAATGTGGCATGTCCATCTTCTCTATTTCTGCTACCAACCAGATTGATCTGAAGCCATTCTGGACGATCTTTTGACTAGAGTTCAAACCTATACAGCTTGTATGGTCATCTTTTAAAACCATGTTCTTAATTCCAGGCTCATGCTGGTATGGTGCGCCGAGATGCGCCCACACCGCTGCAAGATCTGCAGAAACACGGCGAAGAGTTCCAGAAAGTGTTTTCCGAACAGTTGAGCGCTATTGTCTCTTCTAAGAATACTCAAGAAGTCCAGAAGGCGATCAAGGATGGTTCCGATTCTCTGCTCCAGCAAATGTCAGCTTTCACTGCCAGTCTACAGGACGCTGTAAGTTCTCATTTGTCTATTAATCAGAATTGAATAATAGCAGATTTCTAAGCTACTTATTAGAACGAGCTACTTGTTACCCATTTACCCAGGCAACTAAAGGCACTTTCAGAGTCTTAAAAGGGTATGTAAATAGCATTTTAGTGTAGATTTCTTTTTTTTTAATATACAGTAAGAGGCTCTTTAGTGATAAATTAGTAGCACTGCTTGTGGACGAAAGTTAATCGAGCTTGTACCGTGTATTAATAAATATTTGATTACCGTATCCGACAAGCAAGAAATTTAGGTATGAAGTAATAAATTAAATGGAAAGAAATGCAGTAACGTCACATTTAAATATTAAATTATTATATATTATTATGTTGTGATATTTCACAATGAAAGAACGAGTGAAATGAACATCATCCGACATTATCACTATTAACAGAGATATCAAATATCCGTCCAACGGTCAAGGCAGGTTAAGGTCACGTCATATTGCAAATATTACGATTATTTAGCTTCAAGGTTACATACTTTATTTGATTTACACAAAATAAGTCGTTCATCACTACACAGACAATAGTTAAAGTTATTCAAATTAAAGCTTCAACGACAAGATTATCAAACTAATAATTAAAATATCAAACGATCAACGTACAGAAGCGTTGGACACCGCAAACATTATACAACTTGTCAAGGGTAGGGTTAACCGCAAGTTTATCTGCTTTATTCCGACTTAACGTATTTCAATAGCTAAATCTATCGTTACAAAACTTATTTCTTTGTAAACAGATATTGATAGGATACTTTAAAAAAGGTGTTCCTCAGGGCACAACCTTTAGCCCAATAGTATTTTGTCTAGAATATTTCCTGAATCTATCATCAGTAGACATTGCTTCTACATTGTTGCAATGTCAACGGCATATTATTATTCCGTAAGAGGACATATTGCCACGTGATTTGCATAGTTTGCAGTTTATAGTCTGAACATGTACTTACCAAATAAAGATACATTTAAAACAAAGACTATTGTAGTTAGTGTTAATCGATTTAATATGTTAATTATGGTTACTGATGATTACTTTAATTCTTATTGAGCTCTGTATGTATATCCTGGTTCCAACTGCCGAAAGACTTGTATAAAAATATAATACTAGCTTTTGCCCGCGACTCCGTTCGCGTGCAAATAAAGAAGAAATAAGTAAGTAGTCTATGTGTTCTTCCAAACCATGTTCTACATCTATGCCAAATTTCATCCCGATCTGTTCTGCCATTTAGACCACAAAAATCCATCCATCTAAACTTTCGCATTCATAATATTAGTAAAATAACAACTTTAATACAGCTTCTCCCATATAGGTATGAAAAATCCCCGCTTATAATGTTCCTTAGTAATCAATAATCAATTAACTCCAAATACAACCGTTAACTAGTATAGTTTAACATTCAGTATATTTAGTACTTGGAGGCATTAAACATTTGTACTTGTACTGCTGTGTTATGAGATTCTAAAATATTTATAGAAAATAGTACAAACTAGCCAGTTATATAAATGTTTCTTTACCTTTCAGATCAGCGACGCAAACGGTAAAGTGAAGGACGCGTTGGAGCAGGCTAAGACCAACTTGCAGCGTACTGCAGAGGAGCTGCGCCGCGCACACCCTGAGGTCGAACAGCAGGCGGCCGCGCTTAAAGACAAGCTGCAAGCCGCTGTACAGAACACTGTACAGGTACGTTACCATGCTAACATCAGAGACGTATAGTCATTTTTAAATAACTTCGCTGTCCAAGGTGGGCTGGTAAGTCTCGTCAAGATATCTGAATATTACTGACTAGCTGATTCTCGCGACTACAACTGCGTAACATTATAAAATAAAAAAAGGTAGCCTATGTAACGCACAGATAACTACTACTACATTTGCTCAAAAAGGTCTTTCCCTTATGCTTTTAACGGTTTATTTTGGTAAAGTTTAGTGATTTAACAATGTAATCTCTTACAATGCCTTTCTAACACTTCTATTATTTTATCAGGAGACACAGAAGTTGGCTAAGGAAGTGGCGACCAACGTTGAGGAGACGAACGCGAAACTAGCGCCAAAGATCAAGGCAGCTTACGACGACTTCGTGAAACAGGCCGAGCAGGTGCAGAAGAATTTGCACGAAGCCGCCAACAAGCAGTAAAAGATGATATCATTTAAATAAATCGTATAGTTTTAATCAATATTTTGTTGTTATTGCACCTTTACAAAACCCACCACCCCTTTAGACTTTTCGCACCTAAACATTTGTATTGGAATATCAATTTCAATTTTCCAAAAAAAAAACTACTTGACTAAATCTCAAACAAGACAGCCATGACACCCAGAATAAAAATTCTAGTACATCTCACATCAAGCGTTACTAGCCGATGTTCTGGGCAGGTCCAAGCGGGTGTGGCCACCATTAATATAGCATAGCCATATTTTTTTTATAGTTTTATATGTTTCACATTTTTCATACAGTGGCATCAGTTCCGACAATAACTAAAAATAACTTCCTAAATAATTTGGGTATCCGTTTTATTTTTGGTATGTCATCTGCACTTCTTTATATTATAAGACGGCAATGAGTAAGCGGCCATTGGAACCCACATTATTCCCTCCCTTTATTTCATTCATTCAGTCATTCTTCCGCTTATCTCTACGCTGCCGCTACTCACCTTACATTGTATTCTGCACACACGTACGATATTCCGACTTTACTTGAAATAAATAAAAGTGGTTCTCGTTTACTTTCGTGTTAAAATAAATACACATTTTAATGATAATGATTTATTGTTGAATAAGAAATACAAATGTATGTTTTAGAATGAATTAGCACTTAGGTTGTACATTGGTAATATTGTGACCTAATTATTGTAGCCCATTGTTTCATTACAAATTATAAACCAATCGTTAGTATTAAAAATAATATAAGGGTCATTACAAGGTCAACCTTGACAGATGACGTTATATAAAATGTTCGTATTAAAATAAACTTAATTTAAACTAAAACTGAATGATTATAATTCAAAACAAAAAAAAAGACACAAACATTTCTTCAAAGCAAGTTGCTTACAATAATTATTGCATAGAAAAATATTTAAAACTCGTGTAAATGTATATAAACTACATAACGACTGGATTTATAATACAAGCCACGAAATTGTAAGCCACGAACGCATGGTGTGAGCGAGACAGCGTTACACGAACGTAATACGTGCGACAGAGAAAGTACACATCTGTTATGCCCACAAACACGAATGAGTGAGACAGCGTTATACGAATGTAATAAGTGGGACAGAGAAAGAACATTTCAGGGGGATAGATAGGGATAACAATATGAGCGAGATAGCGTTATATGAACGTTATATGTGCAACAGAGACAAAATGCATTTTTGTGAATTGAACTTCATACCTTTCGTGGCGTGCATTATAACACAAGCTATATTTTGTTACATATTCAACAGTTGTAAATTTAGTATATTGACACTATAAACTACACCCCATATATTTATTGAATTTGACAAAACTAGCATATTTTATTTAAAACATATTTTTCACTCTATATGAACCAAAAGAGCAAGCTATTTGTTGTAGAATTTGACCGCTGTGATATTTGTATGCAAGGTTATTTTTAAATATACGATCTTAAATATGTAATATTTTTTTTTTACTAGTATTTTTGAAATTCCGTTAAACACAGAGACAATATGTAGGTCAAAGCGCATAAACACTGATGTATTTATTGGCATCAAATAAAAGGGCTTATTTAATCAATTTTAATTAAAAAATATAACCCTGTATATAGCTGTCTCTAACTTTTCAGAGAGAATGAAAGAGACAACAATACAAGTATCACATTAGTTTTATGCTTTAATCTGTATGTTATATCTGATGGGTGACAATGTAACCGCAAACTAAATTACCTCATAACTATATTAGCGTAATAAATCAAGTCAAGCACAATAAAAGCCATAATAGTGATCATGTTATGTATTCAAAAACTTTGATAGTAAACAAAATGGTTACATAAGTCACAGACAATACGCGAATATCGCCCATTTGTTATTTGCCTAGATACTCGACATATTGTATTGTTACATTATCGCATATATGAATTTCGATAGATATGATTTTTCTAGGCATATTACAAATTGGCTGCATTCACTGTTTGCCGGTGACATAAATCCAGCAGTTTGTGAACCAGCACTTTGGACACATCTGGACTATTTTCGAATCAACGATTTAACGCCTCACCGACTGCCAATCACCATCTGGGTCACGGGCTGAAAAAAAAATATTGGTTTAATTAATTTATGCCTGCACATGGCCAGTACAGTTGGACAGCGGTTAATAACTGGAATACAATTGATATAATGTAAATATTAACTGGCGCCAGTAGGTCCATAAAATCTAAACGAAACCCACGTTTCAATTTGGTTTAACCACTTCAAATTAACACATTAATAACCGAATTCTGAAACTAAATTAAATAATAACGTCATCTTAATAAACTCCAAAATCCATCAAAGTATTTACGTCTATCAGATTATAAACGGCATTAAAGCAGTGAAGTTTAAGATTCGTTTCATAACTCAAAAGTGTCACCAACCGATTGTTCAACACTTTAGTACTAGTAATATTGTATTAAAAATATATTTAGAAAAACAAGTTTGTTCTGGTATAAATAACACAGACATCTCAGTGCGAGATGCTGTCGCGTCTAACCACATTTATTCTACCTCTGAGGCCTACCATTTTGTAGTTATTTATTAACTAAAAATGGGATTTATTTCAGAGGCGGTTTAATCTCTCTAAGTTACATTACTTCAACTATAAAAAGTATAACATCACCAATCATATAAAAGATCATAATTCTACAACACAAGAAAGACAAAACAAGAACTTTAAATTTAATGATGTTTGCTAATAGTAGGATTTGATTTAAAAATGTTTCTTAATATAATTTATTTATGCAAACTTACGTTTATCGTCACGGCGCGGCGGCGGCGGGCGGCGCTCGCGGTCGTCCCGGCGAGGACCGTCACTGGAAAGGAAATGCATTTTATAAAAAAAACAAATACTTTAGAAAATAACAATACTATTTTTCATTTTAAATACGTAATCCGGATGCGGACCAAGAATTTCGTACAATGGCTACTTAAGCCTATTGACAGAGGTCACAACAAAGAGTAATAAAAGTTTTAAAAAACTTGGGTTCTTACTATTATAATTAAAAACTCACCGATCATCTCTCCTAGGACCATCGCGGTCATCTCTCCTAGGACCATCACGGTCATCCCTCCTAGGACCATCCCTGTCATCTCTTCTAGGACCATCCCTGTCATCTCTTCTAGGACCATCGCGATCATCTCTTCTCGGTGGGTAACGGTCACGGTCTCTAGGACCATCGCGGTCTCTCGGTCCGTCGCGGTCTCTGGGACCATCACGGTCTCTTGGTCCATCGCGGTCTCGTGGCCCGTCACGGTCTCGTGGTCCATCGCGGTCCCTGGGACCATCTCGGTATCGATCTTCACGCGGTGGTCCATCTTTGCTGCGCCACGTAGATGAACGCTCCTGCATAAGTGTAGTTATTAGTGTCTATCTCATAAGCTCAATAGTTTAATTTACTTACAAAGGCATTGCTGTTAGTTGTAACATTTTTTTTATTTAAAATGCAAATCAAAACATGAAAAACCATTAGGGGTCATATTCTATCGACTCCTTACACATCTAGACTCTTGCTAGGATATTACATGACTATAGTATGTATGACTATTGGTGCATTGTGTATGAAAGGTATTGGTAAACTCACGGTGGGTGCTGGCGGGGGGTCGGCAGGTCCCCTGCGCCAGCTGCCGGTCTCGGGTCCGCTGGAGCGACCGCCGTAGCCCACACGCGGCCTGTAACACAACAATATTATTCAAATCACTGAAAATCTGCAATTTATGGTCCAAACTGTAGAGCCACTGTCCTCTATTAAATGGACAGGGTCATGTGTATGTAAGCTGTCAATTGCAGGCGATCCATTTAGTATAGAGATCAGTGGGTACAGCCTAACAATAATTAACAATCAAATAAAATTGAATTATTATAACTGCTTTGAGACAGTTTCGAGAGATTTATGTACTTTATCAAACGCATTATGTCCGTTATACAGGGTGATTCTTAAGGGGCGGATCACATGCTTTGATGATTGGTGGTAGAGGACCTAAATAGCTATCGTTTCAGCGCAATATATGTTTTTGTATTTTAGGTAGTTATTAAAATTACTTAACTTTTTGGAAAGAACATCGTAAAAACGATAGGTATTGGTGGTAGGGACCTCCCTACCACCAAGCTAGTGATCTGTCCGTTAATAATCACCCTGTATAATAATTTGTAGTTTTTTTAACGTGAGAATTACACAAGTAACAAATGGCTTATATAAACTAAGTCGTAGTATTTACCTTTCATCTCTAGGTGCCGGACGGTCATCTTTGGGCGGGGGTCCGCGCTCGTCGCGCAGTGGCCGGCGTTCCGGTGACCGAGGACGTTCATCGCGCCCTCCCATACTGCGGCTTGGTGGCAACGCTGTCAAGATATTACATATTATAAATATTATTTTATTTTTATTGATTACAAAAAATATTTTGGTTCGAACCTTCTACTGTACGTACTAAGGGTGTGTACACACCTGAAACTAAACTATCGCACAACTGTTAGGTGCGCTTTGATTTCTATGAGCTTATATGGCGATGCGCACAATAGTCGATTTTTAGTTGTGCGACTAAACAGTGGAATTGGCTACGGAACAATCGAAAATCAACAATCGCGTCAAATGTGTATGCTGAAATTCCGATGTTTTAAATTGTAGTGTGTGTACGTTTGTAGCAGGGATGTTGCGAATATACGCATCCGCATCCGCAAATGCGGAACTTCCGCATAGATTCGGACATCTGCATCTGCATCCGCATTAATCAGTGCGGATGTTCATGCGGATGCGAATATCATGCAAGTAGCCGGGCAGTGTTCCTAGTGAACAATTATTTAGTAGCGCGGGTTTAATTTAAGAACCTCTGCGTAATCGCCTTAAACCAGAAAAGGCGGCAATACTCCTGTTAATTAAGTATAATACTCCTATTTTTAATTTTAATTACTAATTTACCAATAGGTGTTTAATATATACAAATGTTTGATTAATTACAATAAAAATATTAATAATTAAGTTATCATTGTTTTAACTCTTCATTAACTCATTGAACGTTTTGACACAGATCTGTGCACCCCTCTTAGACCGTCTTGTCACATATCTGTGCCCGCATTTTTTTATTCACTTCTTCATCAATTCTTATTACAAACGAAATAAAGATCCAAGCCGTTTCAAATTACAAGTGAGTGAGAGAACCATAAACCCAGTCGTCAAAGTAGTCGATCTTTCAATGTAAAAGTTCATAAATAACATTGAAATTCGGTGTTGTTTCAAACGTGTCGGTGCTCTTGCAATATATTTTTATTACTATTGTAATATCCGTTTTCCACGAAGAGAAGGTAAGTAAAGCTTATATTTTATTGTTATTGACTGTTATAGATGCTATCTGTAAAGTTTAAATACATAAAAATGTTATAATTTACGATTAAATCTAGGAAACAACACTCAGTGCGCAAAGTGACCTTGGTACAAATTTTGTCCTTTTGTTATTTTTATAGTTTTACGATATGTTTTTACGAAGTAATTATGTCAGTGTTATGCGAAATTTTATTGGCATTTCAAATGTTCTCTCGTTATTACGGGAAAATACACTTTTTTAGCTAAAATATAGTTTTTTAGAAACATTGATCAAGTAATATAACTCACACATATGCATTCAAAATGGCGACCACTTTATGTAATACACAGGCTCCACGACGCGGTGATGTACAGCATGTTCGAAAATTCCGTATTTTTTGTTTTATCCTTGAATTTGAATTTTATTGTTTTTATATAATTTATAGTATTTAGGTAGAAATTCCACATTTTAATTCAATAAGTTGTGATACTGCTAAGTTTTACGGATGCTTTAATACTGATTTTTTTTTCATTAATTTTACAGGTACTAACCAATATCAAAATGGTTATTTATTTTGATATAGATAAGTTTTTAAGGAAGGATGACTATGTGTTATGTCTGAAAGAAAATTTTGCCTGGCCCTGGTCGTCCACGCATTTCTTATTGTCCAATGTATGTTTTGGTTGTGGGAGTTCCACAAATAGTAGTGCCATTACCCATTTTATTTCAACCATGAGTCGATGGCAGCTAAGATGGCTACTTCGCAGTAATTTTTTTTGGTGCCACAACTGTAGTTATTGTATTTACGATCATTATCCCGCAAACGAATGCGAAATTTGCCATGTCTGAACGCAAAAAATAGTTTTATTTTGTACATAGTACTATTTTTTCTTTTAATTTTGATTTTGTTTAATTATTGGAGACTAAGATTTTGTTATTTGTGTATAAAACTTTATTATTTGAGAATAGGATTTTATTGAGCATTTATCGATTACAATAATTTAAGTTGAAGTTTGTTTTGTTAAATTATAATTTGAAAAAAGAAAAGGCCTTTGGTAGCCTAGACTTGATAATATATTTAGTTTGAGTTTGTTTTGTTAGTGAAAAACGCTAGATCAATGGTTTTGTTTAATTATTTGGGAAAGACAATTTTGGAATAAAATGACTTTGTTTTATTTCAATGTAGTATTGAATAAAAGTAAACATGCTGTATCAAACTATTTAACACAGATCTGTGACAAAACAACCAAAGATCATTCATTAGAACACAGATATGTGTCAAGACAGACAAAGCTAAGTTACAATGGCACAGATCTGTGTAATATTTATTCACGCACACATGCACAAAATACCGAATGTTTCCAATCTTTGGAATCATCGACTTATTTATTGGTTTTCATAGATTATTTGTATGAACTTGTGGCGGTGTATTATTCATACTCGTTCATTATACTTTCTAGTATAGGATAATATTATATTCACGGGCCATAGACTATAAACATGTCCCTACGAGTAGTTTGAAGTGTTGGATATGAAATAGGTCCATTACTTCATAATTTTTGCTCTAGAATATATTTCCGTCTTCTATTGAGCGATTTAGGCAGTTTTATGTTAAGCCAAATGTACTAGTGACATTAATTAGTGCTTTCCAATATCTCAAACCAAGTAATCCGGTCCTGGGACTAGCCAGTTGTCGACCTTCAAGTTAACCTCAAACAAGTAATTTGCTAATCTTATTTGTACTTTTCAAATTAGAATTTAGTTTATAATTTGTTCTATACTTTCAATTCTATTGATATCAATAGGTGTGTATGTTATTCGTTAGTGTTTCTAAATCAAAATATGTTGTTGTGAAAGAAGTTTAAATTCTAAAAATCTATAAATTCATACGGCGTACACGTTTTCAGCTCATGACTAGTGGTAAATACGCTGTAGAATGTTATCAAAACATTTTTTATTGTCAGACTTCAGTGTATAATCGTAATTAGTTATCTGGCTTTCAATAACAATCGTCAGTGTGAACAATTTCATTTATTGTAAGGCAAAATTCATATAAAATACAAAGTCAGGCGCATCTCGCCTCGTCACTCACGATCGTTGCGACAGACTACGTAATTTTTTAGTCGCCCTCGTGACGTTCCAAAGGTTAATAGACTTTAGTTACATAATAAAGGCGGAATTTATTATGATGATGATGATGACGGTTTACATAATATCTTAACATCCGCATCCGCAGATGTGTGCCCTCAAAACTTCGCATTCGCGAATGTGAAAAAATCAACATCCGCAACATCCCTGGTTTGTAGTTTGGATCCGATAATACTATAAAACCCGTCATTAGGCATATTGTTATATAAAGTACTATGGACTAGTATAGTGTAGTGACGTCACTGACCTGGTCTGCGTCCATCGTCGCGCCTCCAGCTGCTGCCGGTGGCGGACTTGGGCTCATCCACCTTCCGCGGCTCCGCCTCTTTCGGGCGAGGTCTTTCTGCTTCCCTGGAAAATGTCACCATGTTGTTATATTTATTGTAATTCTTTTTAAATATCTTAGCAGTCCATGATTATAAGCGCATTGCCCAGTGCTCTGTCATTCATCCCAAAATACGTATTCTGCGCAGCGATTCGTTTTCGATTCGTAAGTTACGAGCCTCCATATTTAAAAATTAATATATATAATATAACAAATACATATATTTGTTTCGATAAAAAACATAGTTAATCTAGTCGTACGTTTTATTAGTATCAAAGGAATTAGTGTAAACAATTAAAAGATTCTTACTTGTCGTCTTTGGGCGGCGGGCGTTCCTCTCGTCGCTCCGAGGACCGCGGTCTTTCGTCGCGGCGTGCTATATACAAAAAAACTCATTATACATTTTTATATAAATTTAACAACCCACTTATGTCACTACTCAGCGTGGGGTATCCCTTTCTTGTATTGTACATATGTACAAAATACAAGCTTAGAATTTAACACATGTCTCTATTTTGTCAGAGAGAATGAAAGGGATAGTTATATATCAGGTAGCAACCTGTAGGCGCAGGTCCCCCGCTGGCACCGCGCCAGGTGTCATCAGCTCGCCTCCAGCTGGAGGAGGACTTCTGCTCCTCCAGCTTGCGCGCCGCCGCCGCCTCCTGCGCACGCGCACGAGCCTCCGCGCGCGCCAACATCTCCTGGTGCTCTCTGATAAAACAATTAATAATAATAATAATAATAAAGCCTTTATTGCTGAAGATTGTACAATTGATTTTTTTTTTTTTTTATGTTAGTCTATTTTTAAATTTACATTTTACCTACATCTATTTTTTCTTACATATTGGCGACTCTTAAACCACTATCTACAGCTTGTCCCTGGACA